GGCTAAAGAACTTAGTCATGCCACCCTTGGGGAAGTAGCTACACATCATATTATGTAGTATGATGTACCAGACAAAATTGTTTGTTGCAAACGGAGTCCAATTTTTTTACATAGGGAACTATGCTGAAATATATAATGAGGATACATGTAAGTGGCTGCACAACAAGGTGATGATTGCAATCATAATGAGTAGTACATGAAAAGCCGTAGATGAAGGCATTGTGTTTTTCCATTCAATCCAAAAAAGGATCGACTTTCAGTATCAAATCGATAATGGAGCAAAAAAAGAAAAACATATCCAGGTGCAAAGAAAAAAATAACAAAAGGCTTAAATGAAAGAGTCTCGCCAGCCACCGCCACAAAAATGCCCTGGTAGGAAAACCTGACAGAATATGTTACACAGGGGACCAAAAATGCCCCAAATCCACAGGGGAGGAAAAAGAAATTAAGAGCTACACATTAGCACATCCCTTCCTCTCTCTGCATGACAATCATTATGGAATTCCAAAGCTGCCATACCCTATTCCAGTGCAGCTCGCTCACCTTTGTTTTGCAAATCTGCCCAATAGTGAATGAAAGAGCATGCATACCAAATAAATTCAACATGGTAGCGAACAAGATACTTCTCAAAACAAGCCCAATTAGGATGTTTCTAGATTAGCTAGCATAGAGCAACTAAATCTACAATTGATAGGTTTCTACTGATGGGCAAATACCTTGGAATCAACATAAATATTGCGAGAAACAAGTGGGTCTATAATTAGCATCAATGCATCTACAGATCACACTCCATGCATGCTTGCCAGCAGAACGGTAAAAACAAATGATGAATATTCATGGGATCTAGGTAAAGGCGACACAAAGGGTCGTGAACCCACTTCCTTTTGATCATGTTGTGCTTGGTGGCAATGGCACTGTGCCATATCAACCAAAGCTATATTTTGATTTCAAGGGGATTTTAGCCTTTCATAGATGTTTAAACGATCTATCGGGACTATCATTTGGTAGATGGTTATACGTAGGTTTCTACACTGAACATGCCACTTTTATTCCAAGACCATCTAGGTGCATCATCCCCATCCAATGGCAAGGTTAACATCTTGCACATATTTTTCATTCTATTTAACTCGGATATCTCTTGAAGGTCGGGTTCCATCCACCATCTGTTTAACAGTTTTATAGTCTTATTGTTGAAAACTAAATCAGTCTCTCGGTCACACCTCACAACCTAGGCACCTAACCCAGCCTCTGATTAAACCAGCCCAGCATGGATTGGCCCTAACTGTGTCTTTTATCGGATGAATTCAATTTTCAACCTTGTATTAACGCCCACTCCACTTTTTTTCTTGTGCCAACATTCTACATGGAGGGTTAAAAATTTCAACGAAATTTCGCATGTTTTAGTGGGGTCTGAAAATATTTTTAACCCTGAAATTTTGAGGCATTTTCAAACTGATTTTAAAATAAATTTAAATTATGTCAAAATTCATTAAATTAAGTGAAATTTGAAATCTCAAAATTCGAAATAATTTCCAGAATATGCGAAATTTCAGAAATTTCACATATTTCAGTGAGGTCCGATTTTTTTATTTCCAAAATAAAAAAAACCTTGTGCCATCTTACCATATGATACTTTTTCTTGACACTACTTCCCTGTCAAAGGAGTGTGCGTGCATGCCCCGATCTGTACACCGGTGTATATCATGGCTTTGACAATTGTATCGCGTCAGCTCCAGCAATTTGGCGCAGTGCCTACTTCTCTTTCTGCCGTTTGTTACCATCGCCCATGTGCCAAGAGGTTAAACATGTGGCGTTACAGTATTTCTTTCCATGTGAATGGCTTCTTTTGAGCTCGGAAATACCAAAAATATACTAGTAGGTTCTTCCTTCGGCCTTGGCGTGCCCAAGTATTTGTTCGTGTACATAGTAGGAGTAGCCCACGTCCACTGAACCTTGCTAACTCCGATGCCATACGAACTTTCTGGAGAGTATATGTATGGAGTACACGCATGAAAACAGAACACCCAGTTTTATGCGCATATATATACATACAGATAACCTTACGGTGAAAACGACCCCATACACTGATTAATCCCCGGCCGTCCGTCGAGATGGTTCCTTGCTTCAACTACCAGCACGCTCTGGTTCCGTGGTTCTGTGCAAACAGCATCGTAATGGCGTACTGGCGCGACCTCGTGACAGCCACAGGGCCTTGATAAGGAGGAACATCGACGGACTAAGATGCTTCCAGAAATGCAAGTTTTGCAAGCTAAGAACAACTTAATCGCCTGCGTGAGCCATCATTTTATATTCTAATTCTCTTTCGGGTCCCTGTCGAGCCCCACTCTCCATGAACGCCATCGCACGGACAGTCGCTGCCACGTTGAATTACCCGGGATA